TCACACCTCATTGCAGTAACCTCCATTATACAATCACAGCTGGCATTAACCTCCATTATACCCCCACAGCTGGCATTAACCTCCATTATACCCTCACAGGTGGAATTTTCTCCCTATTATACTCTGTCAATTTAATTATAACCTCATGGCAGAGCTGGTATTAAACTCCCTGTTATACCTCCACACCACACAACTGTCTCTAACCCCCAAATTGTACCCTCACACAATATAACCACATTAAGTACCCCTAAAAGCTTCAAACCACTTTAAAAACCCCATTGTACCCACTGCACTATAGAGTTGGCATTAATCCCCTCTACCCCCATTGTACCCTCACCTAGAGAGTTGGCATTAATCCCCTCTACCCCCATTGTACCCTCACCTAGAGAGTTGGCATTAATCCCCTTTACCCCCCATTGTACCCTCACCTAGAGAGTTGGCATTAATCCCCTCTACCCCCATTGTACCCTCACCTAGAGAGTTGGCATTAAGCCCCTCTTCCCCCCATTGTACCCTCACCTAGAGAGTTGGCATTAAGCCCCTCTACCCCCCATTGTACCCTCACCTAGAGAGTTGGCATTAAGCCCCTCTACCCCCATTGTATTCTCACAGCAGATAGTCGGCATTAACCCCCTCTACCCCCATTGTATTCTTACCTAGAGAGTTGGCATTAATCCCCTCTACCCCCATTGTACCCTAACCTAGAGAGTTGGCATTAACCCCCTCTACCCAATTTTATTCTCACCTAGAGAGTTGGCATTAATCCCCTCTACCCCCATTGTACCCTTACCTAGAGAGTTGGCATTAACCCCATCTACCCCCCATTGTATTCTCACAGCAGATAGTTGGCATTAACCCCGTCTACCTCCCATTGTACTCTCACAGTATGGTGTTGTTATTAACCCCCTTTACCCCCATTGTATTCTCAGCAGCCCTGTGTATGTGTTTTGGTAAAACTGGCGTATGTTCTGGCAGGGTCTGGTTTGTATTTTGGGTCTAGGATAATGATTTTGCGTTCTGCATGGCCAGTAGGAGCCAGATTAAGGGTTATATTGCTAAGTGCTTTCCCTGAAGTCACATGCAGGTTCCCATGAGACAGCCATGTCAGGAATAAGTGAGTCATAAAAGCAGTGTTTGACAATTTAAAGAAAGTGAGGGAGGAAGGAGAGAACCAGGGAGGGAATAAAACGCACTTTAGGGAACGATGGCGAGAGAGAGGGATAGTGAGACTGACGTGGACGGTAGAGAGTTTCTGGAGGATAGAGAGACAGACCGTACTGGGTAAAAGATGGTCTTGGTAGATGGGTTAACCCTCTGACTGCCAGAATACCCTATAAATCCCACAATAAGGGCTATTCACTAGAATCGCACCAGACTCGCATTAAATATCAACATCTTTGTCCCAGGATTTGCCTTTGGCATATTTACAACAGGGAAATCCAGTTGAAATCCTCTCATTTTAACCAAATAATCACATCTCATTCGCTGCTTGCTGTCTGGTGTGGGCTTTAAAATCAGTATTTCTACCATACAAGCTAAATCGATAAAATACAAGGATTCGCGTTTATCAAACACCGAATTCCATGCAGATTCACTATAAACAAAACCGGTAGAAGATAGATTTGTACGCGAATTCGCCAGGTTTGTGCAGGTGAACCTACAGAAATATGTAATATTTTTTGACTGACAGTGCAAGCAGCCCACAGGGAAATGAGTCCAATAATAATAATTATAAACATTATAATAATAATAATAATATAACATTCAAATAAAAATTACAAATACATTAATAATGTAATATAAACTTAGTATCTGAAATATGGAGTTGGAAGTCAAAATGGTGCTAATGCCGTCTTTGTGCAATGGTAGCTTCTATTAAAATGGAAGAAAATGTGGTCCAACCTAAATCCCACTATCCGGTTGGACTGGGTTTGTAGGTAGACCGCTACCAGTTCTGTCTAATTATCAATGCGTTTGACTTCGCTAACAATCCAGAATAGATTAAATCCAGCGTGAATTAACATGCGTTCGAAAGATGTCTTCTTTTATTTAGCGACTAATAGATAATATTGAGGTAGTCCATATTTTATCTTCTAAACACTTCTAGATCGTTCTAGATTATTTTTGCTATTTAGGATAGAATCCATTCGGATAGTTTAATTGCCAGTGTGTTCCCAAAATTCCGCAGTGTGTCTAGATTTAAAGTTGTGGAGTTTGTTGGCAATTTCAACAGGTAAAGCATCGGCTGCTCGATGGGTTAACATTTCGAGGAATGCCGCCCATCAGTGTGACATCAGACCCTGTTTGTGCGATCGGCGACGCTGGCCCCCTGCGGGGCACTTCCACTTGTTTACAATGTGTTCAGAGTTTGATACTACAGAACTAAACACTAGAGACCAGCAGCCTCTTTCACTACATGCCTCGGCTGCCTAAGAGTAATGGTAATTAGTATCCCCAATAGCTCTGACTGACTGAGCTTGCTTAAGTTGCAGTACCGGCACTATAAATATTGCAATACATATATCAGAGTTGGGTCAGGATGAAAGTGATATGGAAAAGTTCTGTGTGCAGGGTCTCCACAGCGTTCTCTGAAACTCCTATTTTTCATCTTAGACAGACGGGCGTTTTTATGTAGCAATAAAAGATGTTTTGACTTCCTTTGCAGATTAAATATCACACCTGTGACAACATATCGTACTCAGCGGCAGATGGGAACTTTAACGATGGTTGGGGTGCTAGACTACCCTCAGAATTTGACTCTACCCCCTGACTTGCATTTAACCTCCCCGTAATCAACCCGTCATGTTCTGTTCAATACCATAAAACTATACATGCACGTTTTTGAGAAACAACAGCCAATTTGACCCCTTAAGGACCAAACTTCTGGAATAAAAGGGAATCATGACATATCACACATGTCATGTGTCCTTAAGGGGTTAAAGAGGTCCAACCCCCTCTGACCTTATTACCCAATGAATGCCCTAGAAGACAGGACAGTAAGCAAGCCTATCTTTTTGGACTCTGACGATCTGACTGCCCAATGCAGAGTCAATGGGTTATGTCAGAATTCCTGTTGTCTCAACGTTCGATATCCAGAAAATTGGTAATTTGACCATCTTGGTATGATTACTATCTCTAGCCATCAATAAGAGAGAAGGAAACTGCAAAACTAATCATGACAGACACAGCATGTCAGTTTCTAAAACTTCATTATCATGTGTCCTTCGCAAGACAATACATTTTATTACATCTTTATAATTTTATATTTTTTTTAATGTAAAACTTGAAAAAAATCTGCCCTATGGATATGACTCCTCTGACCCTTACTGTTTCTTAATTACCCCAATGACTTCCTTTAGAATGTAAACTCAATGCCCCAGTTCTCATCAGTCCCTGTTCCCATCAATCCCACCACGCCGTTTCCATACGCTGAGGATGAAAATTGTTGTCCTGCAGTATGTAGCTTTCATATGCTTCAGGAAAGGAAACCAATTATTTGTTGAAGCAGGGATCTCGAAGGAAGCTTTGAACCCCTGCCTATGAACGCTACATACTAAGGGTAGTACTTTTGTTCTGCCGCCCACCAGCATGAAGAAGTGATGTGCATCCACGAACACATGGTGGAATTGGCAAGCCTTGCTGTGGAATGTGTTAATAGTAATAAATAATAGTGATGTTGTATATAACTTGCAAATTGAAATACAAATAGTCGCCGTAACATTGCGCTTATCTTTTTTGTCAATAAATAAAATAGCTTTATTCTTTTATACTTTTTTTTTTTTCCATGTCTAAATCTAAACCTCCTCCTGTCTTCGTTCCCACCACTTCTCCCATGTCTGCCTCTTCCCCTGGATCCCTGCCTCCCCTCCTGTCTCTGATTTGGGTACCAGACAGCATCCAGCTGTTAGTCTGTACAGCCAAGACTCAGGTTAACCCACCCTCCCCCTCCTTTACTCTGCAATCTCTCATCACAGTCACTCGCTAAACGTGGTCTGGCCTGCCATTAGTGTAACACCCACACTTTGTCCTGTGTATGAG